CAAGTTTCAATCAACGTACTCGTCATTCTTCCACCCGAAGTCAAAATAATGAGGATCACTCTGTAGGAAAGAAACAGGAGACAGCTAAGCTTGCCGCATTGCTGAAGGCCCTGCCTTAAAAAATAAAGCACTCTCGGCTGATGGCATAGAAACGGAAATCAGCACTGCACCATCAACTTCATGAGATGTAAAGTGCCAAAACAACCCAATCATGAAAGTGACTGAAGAGAGAAAAAGATACTGCAAAGGTGATGAACTTTCGTTTCCTCATTAGTTCTTACCTTCCGTGAAGAATGTCATATCAGTTACTTACTTTCAGTTGGAATAACGGGAGATTGGAATAGTCGACGGTCAAGAATAATCTAAAGCAATTGTCTCGAGTTACTCCGTCACAGATTCACATTACTTTATACCGAAGCTCGAATGCTGGCAAAAGATCAGGAACGGGAACGTCTAAGACACTGTCTGACGTGTCTAATTCCTCGACCCGAAAGATTAAGCGGCCATTGAAACTAAACAACTGACTGAATAGCGTTCTCATTTAATGTTTTCACTTCAAGCACATTATTTTTCATGTTCAGCTATTTCGTCTTTTCTGAAGTTGACTCCTGGCCACTTTACATCTTATGAATCATCCCTGCGTTAATAAATCGTTCTGCGTTGTGGTCTTCACATTACTGACGATTAAATTCGTTTCATTCTTGACGTCGTTTGAATATTTGAATGCCCACATTTGGATCAAGTTCTTGTCAAAATAACATTTTTAAAATAAATAACTAATTCCTACCACAAATGACACAAATCCGTCATTCCTCTTATTCAAATAAGGATATTTCTCTTATCCCTTTCTTTTCGACGTAATCAAATCGGCCCAAAGAGCATTCATTTTCCTGCTGTGGTCAAACATTGCCGTTTAAATCACCAATTATAAACTTGTAACGATTTATGTTCATGAACTTCTTCTACTTTGCATAAATCTTCCATCTGTTATTCAAAATGACTTTATGTCGGCGCAATACTTCGATCACTGAAAGTTCAAATCGAACTAAAACTTTCACAACCAGTCTTGTACACCTCTCAGAAATACTGTCATCTGTACTACATTACTCCTTAATCTTCTATGGATAATAAAGCCTTCAACGTTTCTGTTTATCGATCCTTCGCAAAACATACCGTGCCTACTTTAAAGCTTTAATAGCCCCTCGTTCTTTCGTAGATATTTACTGATTCCTACAATGTCCAATTTAAACTTTCTAAGTTCGTCTTTCGGAAAAGCTCTTGGTAACGACGGTATTAGCATTGAGATCATAAAAGCCGGTGTTCACGTACTCCGGAAGACGCTCACCGCTAGAATCAGCCGCTACCTGACTGACAAGACCATCCCTAGCAGTTGGAAGGAATCGAGGACCGTTCTGCTCCATAAAAAGGGCGATAAAGAAGACCTGAAGAATCATCGCCCGATCTGCTTGCTCTCCCATATACGAGCTCGAGAATCATTACCAACCGCCTTACAAAGCCACTCGATGAGCAGCAGCCGACAGAACAAACAGGATTTCGAAGCGAATATATCACTACGGACAACTTCACTCTAAACCAACTGCTACAGAGCGCTAGGGAGTATAAATTACCCTTAGGTCTCCATTTCGTCGATGAGAAGGCACTCGACAGCGTAGAACACAACGCTATCCGGAACACTCCTGGAATACGGAATCGATGAGAACTATGAAATCATCAAAGAAACGAATATAGGATACTCGACTAATTCATATAACGATTGAGATGGGCGTTCGAGAGTAGAACTCTCCTTTATCGCCCAAGCTCTTTAATGCCTGTCTCGAGATGGTGTTCCGCAAATTGAACTGGAAGGGCGGTCTGAACGTCAACGGCGAGTAGCTGAATCATCTATGCTTCGCAGACGACATAGTACTCATCGTGAATAACGCTGAAGAAATGAAGGAGATGCTACAAGAGCTCAGCGAACGAAGTAAAGAAGTAGGTCTTAAAAACAGCGCAACGAAAGCGAAGGTGACGCAGAGTCTCGGCATGCCCAAGGCCAATTTACAGCCAGACGGTGTGAACTTGGAAGAGGTCAACAACTATGCCCACTTGGGCCAAGAGCTGAATAAGCGCCGTAATCTCCTAGCGGAGATTATACGTCGAAAGGCTGCCCGATGGCGCAAATTCCATAGCATCATCGATGTCCTCAAAGTATCAGACCAGAAAGACCGTGCTCGCCTCTTCAACAGTATAATATTGAAGGCCGTGAAGTACGGATGCGAAATGAGGGCAGTGACGAAGGCGAAAGAAAATGTACAGGCTGTGACGGAGAGAGCAGTGGAACGAAAAATGCTTAGAATATCTCTTCGTGACCTATCGACAATAAAACACTCCGCAAAATGAGTGGCCTGCAAGATATCGTGCGAGCCATGAGAGAGAGCAAGATGGCGTTGATGACAACCGTCTGACCTTGCACATTGCGAATGGTACCTGAGGGAAAGAAAACCACCACTCGAGCGACCTCTGATAAGGCGGCGGACGTACGTAGAAGAAACAACGGGAAGGACCTGGATACAAACTGCCAAGGACAAAATGGCCTGGCCTGATGGTGCTCGGCGTGTGGCAACGTCGAAGAATCTACACTGAAGCCTGAGCAATCGATGAAGTTCGTTGAATGTTTCACGTAGAAGTGATCGGCAGTTGTAGGTTGCC